CGACCCTCAGCCAGGACGCCAAGAAGTTCGTTAGAACTTGCGACAATTGCCAACGCTACGGAACCATAATCCACCAACCTCCCGAGCTGCTCACCCCCATCTCGGCCCCATGGCCATTCGCGCAGTGGGGGGTAGATATCATTGGTCCCTTCCCTTTGGGCAAGGGCCAGACCAAGTTCGCTGTGGTTGCTGTGGATTACTTCACCAAGTGGGCCGAGGCCGAAACGCTCTCCCACATAACGGAATCCAGGGTCACGTCCTTCGTATGGACGAATATCATATGTCGCTTTGGTATACCGCAGGCCGTAGTGACAGACAATGGGAAGCAGTTTGACAACGCCAAGTTCAAAGACTTTTGCAGCAAACTTGGCATAAGTCATCTTAGCTCGTCCCCCGCACATCCGCAAGCAAATGGGCAGGTGGAGGCAGTCAACAAGATCATCAAGCGAGGCATCAAACTTAGACTGGACTCCAAGAAAGGCAGGTGGGCCGAGGAGCTACCAGAGGTTCTATGGTCGTACCGGACCACCCAACGAGAGTCGACGGGTGAGACCCCGTTCTCCCTGGCCTTCGGCTCCGAAGCTGTAGTCCCGGTTGAGATCGGTATGCCATCTGACAGAGTAGAGCATTACGAGCCTACGACAAATGATGAAGAGCTGCTCCTCAACCTCGACTTGTTGGAAGAAAGAAGAGCAATGGCCCAGCTACGCCTGGCGGAATATCAGGGCAGAATGGCCAGACATTACAATGCCCGCGTTCTACCTCGGGCCTTTCAGGTCGGACATCTGGTCTTAAGAAGGGTCCAAACGCATGTGGGTGCCCTTGATCCGGCCTGGGAGGACCCGTTTGAGATCAAGGGCATAGTCCGACCTGGGACGTACATATTGGCCGATCTGAAAGGAGACGTCCTCGCGCACCCGTGGAACGCGGAGCACCTGAAGCGTTATTATCCTTGAAATGCCAAAAGGAKTTTCAATGAWTCTGTAAAGGCTGTTCCAAAAGAATTATGATCGGAATAAATGTGATGATTTAATTTCATGCTTCCGAGTTCGACCAGAAATTAAATGGGGGCCACGGACTCCCACGCGATCACATTCCAGCAGTTGGTTCAAATTCAATCCTCTGAAGCCTAAGGGTACGAGGTGCGATGCCAAAACCACTGACGAACTTAAAATTCAAACCTTCAAGGCAAAGGAGCGATGTGAAAAGTTCAAAATGGTCAAGCCTCCGAACTTGGGGGTACGAGGAACGATATGAAGAATAGCTACGGACTTAGGATTTTAGCCTTTTAACCTTTTTTAAGTTAAGGGTGAAATGTTAAAAATCCAGAGTTGGTGCAATGTATTGAACATTAAGAGATTCAAACTCAAACTTATAACTATTTTAACTGAAGGCGCGACCTCAAAGGCTTAAGAGGTGCGAGGTGACATTGACTGCAGTTCAAGGAAAAGGCAAAGAAATGAAAGATGTTGCCGACACCAAAGTAAAATCAAACAAAGCTTCTTCATTAATGGAGAGCAGAGCCAAGGCTTATAGACCTTGCAGCTCTGCCCTGACAAGCAGAAAACAAAAGAAAAGGGAAGAAGGACAGCGAAAAGCCTCGTGAAGGGTGGTCGCCTAAGAGCCTGCTTGAGGAGCGCCCTCT